TACTTTATTAACGTATTAAAACAAATTAATGTTAAAGCAAGTACCCCTATTAATTGCAATAAATACAAGAGCACCTATGGGCCTACATTGAAGTTATTAAGGGATGCATGTGCTTGATTTAAACAACAATTTCGTAAAATGTTGCACTGGAAAAATAATATTATATAAATAAAACCCATTATTATAATGCATCTTTAAATTTTCTTTTCTTCTTGTTCATTGTTATTACAATAAAATCGTACATCCCTTATTGTATGAGATTCTAGCAACATAAATGATACAAGTGTTATTGGCCTCAAAATAATAATCAATAAAATCTCTAATAATTTTTAAAAACTATATTTTTATCGATGAAAATAACTTGTTGGAATTACCAATTAATTATTGAGTGAATTAAAATGATCTAGACAGTGACAAGCAAGTTAGCGACGGATCGATTAGGTAACAAATGGGGGGATGTCGTTACTCCATTACTAAATTAAATCACAACCATTATCCAAAGACCAACGACAAGTTTGTGACGAATATAACTTGTATTGATAATCCGTCATCTTTTTAATTTACTATATTACTAGTTGTCTACCCGCGCAATGCGGCGGGATGTAAAGGTTCTATAAGAATATATTCAACTGTTAGATATCATTTTTTGCAAAACATCTTTGAAATAGTTGGRGTTCACATCTCTATCAAAATTCAAAAATGAAAAATTAAAGAATATGAAGCYCTGGTCTTGGAGCAAAAATTAAACTTTCTTCAGCAACAGACCACTTGTGAAATACGTGGTGAGATCCAATAAGCAAAGGCCCATATACGACTGGAATGTGGAACACATAAATCCTATTACATCTCATACTGACATCAACAGTCATGTTTGTCCACAATCACTGATCAATCTTCATATTAAGCTCACATCAATGGCAGATTCATAGATTTATCATTAAGAACACTATAAATATTATGAACATTAATATGAATATTGAGAGAGAAAGTCAATCCTCTCAATTCAGTCAAACCTCTTATTATGAATCTAAATATTACAATTGAGCTCTCTTACCCTAATTACAAAGATTACCTACCTATTTATATGGTCAACATATTAATACAAAGTCAAAGTCAAACTAGTCTAAGAAAGTCAAACACGCTGACTTTTACAATAAAAGCTATTTATAAACTTTCAAGACGAATACAATTAATATTGATTTCTCAGTCCTAACATTCTCCCCCTTTGTATTTAGACTTGAAAGAAAAATCTGCGCTTTGAGTACTAGTTTGAACTTTGAAACTTTATGCACAAAAAGTCTTCTTCAAAAGAAATCTTCAACTTATAATCTTCAAACGATCAAATGTTGAGAAAAATCTTCTAGCACTCCCCCTCGAATGTAGAATCACKGTGATCTTCTCTTTTGACAATGTAGAACCAATTCAAAAATGATCTTCAGAAACACTGTACAAAATATGATCTTCAAAGAATCTTCAAAATCAAACTTCAGTAAACTATTGTGAAGAAGATCTTCACATTCAACATCTCTCA